AATATACTCACTGCCCCTATATTTTCTTTCGATAAAATCTCTCTAAGCAATTTTAGCTCAATATACAATTCATTTTCATCAATATCACCACATTGTTCATTGAGATTTGACAATTGAATTAAAAAATACAAATAATGGTAATTGCTAATTAGCAGAAGGTCCCAATAAAAAATGCTCATTGGTATTTGAGATTTTAAATTGGAAATTGTCATTCTTAAGTAACAATGCTACTTGTCAATTGAGATTTAGGAATTGAGAACCACCAAAAGTAGGGGGGATTAGAACACACATGCATGCACACACGTGCGCACGTGCACACGTGCACACACACACACACACACACACGCACTCCTTGCACTTAACCTGAAATCCTGTATATTATATATACATATAGTTTTTTTTTTTAAATATGGGGCCCCCAAAAATTTGGGGGCCCTGTGCGGTCGCACATGTTAGACATGCTCAGAACCGCCCTGCTTGTTGGTCCCGGTAGGGTAGGTGGAGAGTCTAGAAGGGGGGGGGGGGGGTGAGGGGTGAATAGACTATTTTCGAATTTCAAAGCAAAACGCACAACGGAAGTTTAGTGTATCCTTTTTAGTGTTTCTTTGCATGCGTTTAATTTGTGATAGAAAGATTTAGATGTGGTAATTATGGATGATATGCAATGTAGATGATAGTATGCACGAAAGTAATAAGTGAGAGAGAGAGAGAAAAGATTTTTATAGTGGTTCGGCTATTAACAAAGCTTACTCCACTCTTCTTTCACAACTCGTGAAAGGGTTTGTTCTATCACTCCTTAGTACAAATAGAGCCAAGTTGTGTCCTTAATCACTAAGCTGGACCACAACTTGCTAGGTTTTTCAACTTCTATAGTTTACTCCGCCTCTATCAACTTCTTCTTCAGAGTTGAGGGTTGGAATATGTTAATGTAGTTTCCGACTTGAAATCTTGGCTTGAGATTGCTTGATCTTCGATAAAAAGCTGCAAGATTTCCTTAAGGTTTTGAAGACTTTAGATGAATGGGTGATCTTCTTGAAAATACGTCTTCACAACTTGTTAAGAGCAAGTGTATTTAGATTTTGATGATACTAAACTGTTTAGGAATGTAGACCCCTATTTTTCTTCTATATATAGGTCTCGTGTGACAAACAAGAGTTCTTGAAACTCAACGATTGATTAACACTATGAAGTGTATGAATCTTTCGTGAGACTAGAATAGTTGACCTACAAAAAGACATGAAGACGTCAAGTTGATCAAAAGATGCTTCCAGGCGAAAGATGATTTGAGCAAACCTCGGATTGAATAACTTTTGACAAAAAAGATCTCTCGTCAAAGAGAAAGGACGAAATATAAAGTCAAATCTTTCGACCATCATCTCCGAGTGAACAAGTCAAAGACAGACTTGTAAAAGACAACCTTCATTTAAGTGAAGCATCAAGAATGTTGTCTATGACTCAGATCGGCAAATCATTCAGACAAAAAATGTCCTAAGAATGATCTTCACAAAAGACAAGAAGCATTAAAAGACTTGTACCATCTTGTCAGAAAACAAGGACAAAAGCCATAATGCTTTTGGCTCCAACGGCTACACAGTACAAGTGCATTAAATGCTGATGCCCACTGGTTATTAGGTTTGAAATCTTCATCTCCCTCCGACGGGTAGATTTTTCCACCTATAAATACCTCTCTTCACCATTGAAGAAGGTGCTGGTTATATTCACTCTTGCTATCTAAGAAAAGCTCTTCAATTAGTTCCATCTCCTTAAAGCTTTTCATAACCAGTGATCTTGTGAAGTTTTTTCAAAGGCTCACTTCTTTTTTCATACTTCACATCTTGAAACTGTCTTGCAATTTCTCAAGTGAAGATTCATCCAGACTCCAAGACAAAGTTTCAACCAGTTGGAGAAACACCAGATTATCCTTCTAACATCTCAACTTAGGAAGAAGTTGAAAGAATCGAAGTAAACTCGTGGAGTTGAAAAACCTTTCAAGTGGCTGTCCGGCATAGTGATCAAGGAAGCCAGCTTGAAGTAGTTTGTACTAGGAGTGATAGTGCAAACTCTTTCACAAGTTGTGAAAGAAGAGTGGGGTAGGCTTCATTAACAGCCGAACCACTATAAAAATCTCTCTCTCCATATCTCTTTACTTTTCGTTTCATTTCTTTTGTGCATTGCATATCATATTGACCAAACGCTAAATCTTTACAACGAAAGTGTGCAAGGAACATTTAGAACGAAAAATTACTTCCGTTGTGCATCACTACCAAAGGAATTGCTTTGAAAAATCGAATAGAGTCTATTCAACCCCCCCCCCCCCCCCCCCCCCCCCCTCTAGACTCTCTTTCGACCCTACCGGGACCAACACAACTACACACTGGTTTTGAAATCTTAGGATGATCGTTTATAAAGCTTTATGAATAGCAAAGAGTGATAAAAACCAACACCTTCTTCAAGTGATGAAGACGGGTATTTATAGGATGAGAAATCCATCCGTTGAAGGGAGATGGAAATTTCAAACCTATTAACCAGTGTGTAATGACATCTGGGTAAGGAGACTTAAATGTGGATGTACTGTGTAGCCGTTGGTTTCAAAAAGTAACCAACCATTTTGTCATTTTGTGCAGACAAAAGGTACTGATCATTAAATGCTCCTTGATATTTGAAATCTCATTCCTAGGACACCATTTGTCTAGGATGATTTACCCAGCAAGGAGACCTAGACAAATATGCTTCTAATAGCATGCGAATCTTGTCTTAATCAAGTCAGACTTTGACTTGTGGTCTCGGGTCACAACATAACGAAAGATTGACTTTATCTTTCGTTAAGATCTTTATACACGAGAGATGGACCATTCCATGACTTTGGTCTCAGTTGATCTCTCAGCCTTCTCTTGATCTTCACTCTTCTTCAAGGATCTAATTTTACTAAATACAACTCTGATTCGTGAAGATATGCTACTGAGCACGAGTCACATGATGAGTTGTAACAACTTTCGTCTAGCACGAAAGATGCAAAACAACAAGAGTAAATGAGGAGTCTACATTCTTAGTTAGTTTGGTATCATCAAAATCTAAGTACACTTGTTCCTAACAAAACTTAATAGGTTATTTGTTTGAATATATTTTTAGTTATGTTATAGTATATGAATATAAATTTAGTTTGTATATTTTATAAAAATCTTACATATATTAGATTTAAAAGTAGAAATTATATTTATTCCATTTAAACCAAACATATCAAAAAATAGGAAAAATCACACTTTTGGTCCCTCAATTGTTCCCAGATATGCAATGTAGTTCGTCGTTGTCAATTTTTCAAATTGGTCCCTCAATTGTTTCAACCTTAGTCAATTTAACCCTCAGGTCAGATTTCTCACTAACTAGTGTTAAAATCATGGACAAATTTATAATTTTACAATTGTTTCAAATTTACCCAAAAATTCCTCCTTCCTCGAAATTGACCTATGCAGTTTCACTTTCATTTTTCTTACTTCTCGACGGTGACGACATGGCGGCATCTCCATCGAACAAGAAAACTGATGGCTACGACTGATTTTAATCCGTTCTCTGCTGATGTTTGCTCCGACGGCCACCAAATCCGACTCCGGCGGATGGAAGTTCTCACTCGTTTCATTCTGTGGCTCACCATGCCTCACGGTGGCCGGTTATGGGTGGAGGGGATCCTCCAGCGAAACCAACAGTTGCAGCATGCTACTGTCCCGGTGGGTTCTTTCTGGCGATACATTCCGTTTGGCTTCCACTGCATGGAATGGTGTTCTCCCAGGTATGTTACTCTGATTGCCTCCCGTTTGGTGGTCTCTGGTAAGCATCTATGGCGTATGTCAATTTGGATGAAGAAGGTATTTGGGGGTAAATCCGAATGGGTTGTGAAATTACAAATTTGTCCATGATTTTAACACTAGTTAATAAGAAATCTTACCGGAGGGTTAAAATTGACTACTATTGAAACAATTGAGGGACCAATTTGGAAAAAATTGACAAGTTGTGAAAGAAGAGTGGAGTAGGCTTCGTTAACAGCCGAACCACTATTAAAATCTCTCTCTCCATATCTCTTGTGTGTGTGTGTGTGTGTTTTTTTTTTTTTTTTTAAGATAATGGTTTTATTTATCCGTTGTTGTTTGTGCGTTGTTTTTTTATAGCACATTGAATACACAACACTTCAAAGAACCGTTGTCTTTATGCTTTTTATTTTTTTGAAGACAACTGCTTTATTTATTTGTTATCGTCTGTATGTTGTCTTTTACCGCACTTTGAATATACAACACTTCAAAGACAACTATTTTTTAAAATCGTTGACTTTGTGTGTTTTATTTTTTTTAATGACAACGATTTTATGTATCCGTTGTCTTTTGTGTGTTGTCTTTTACCGCATTTTGAATACACAACACTTCAAAAATAACGATTTTTTAAAATTGTTGTCTTTGTGCGTTTTATTATTATTATTATTATTATTATTATTATTATTATTATTATTATTATTATTATTATTATTATTATTATTATTATTATTATTTAAAGAAAACGGTTTTATTTATCCATTGTCGTTTATGTGTTGTCGAGTCTTTTATCCCGCTTTAAGCATACAACACTTCTATGACAACGGTTTGAACGACTACAATGTATATAAAATGAAACTGAATAATAGTTTCACATATTTTAGTGTATATATTGTCCAATAAACCGTAGTTGAATTAGATTTATATTTTAGTGGTGTTGTAATAAGACTATAGTGTGTATATAATGAAATTCAATAACATGTCTTACTGTATGTATAATGTCACCACAAAATGAATTGAAACTTTAGTTATGCTGAAATAAAACTACAATGTATATAAAATGAAATTGAATATGTTATAGAAACAGGACTAATTACACATTTACACGAAATGGGTACCGTTTCTTTCCATTAAAAGAAACGACGCCGTTTTAAACCATGGTCCACCGTAAAATTTGCCCCCACTGACTTGAAGTCTTTCAAGTTTTAATAACACACGAGAAAATACTTTATTCATTCACACAAAACAGTACAATGCAAGTTCGCCAATAATGGCATTGGAAAACAGGAAAGGCAACACTACACTTACAACGTAGATGAACATATAGGTGACATTATAGTCCCCTAGCTTGCTTAAACAACACACAAACAAACTTTATTCGATCATATATACCTTATTAAAATCAATACTATCCCACCATGAAAGGGTTTAATTTATGCATAGACAACATCGTCTGCCTCGTGATCATCAAGAATCCACTTACCATTATCTTGCTGAACCATTCCTTTGTTCTTCTCAACCCACCATTCAGTTGGAACCGGGCATTTCTCAACTTTAAGCATGCCTCCATACTTGTTGACTTGAGGGATATCAAAACACCCTTGTGGTTTAAACCCTCCCTTTGGTCCTTGAAACCCATCGATTCCATGCAGGTAAATCATCAGACCATGCCACATTAAGATGCTCGCCTTATCAGGCTTTAAATACTCTGATTTTGTAGCGTTTATATCAAATTGGACTCCCACGTCATGGTAGCGTATGAAGGGAAAAACAGTGCCGGCTTCAACAGCCAAGAATGGCACATTTGGCACAAGATCCCCATAGTTGACGACACGCAAAGCTCGGAGGTTTTTCAGCTGGGAAAAAGCCTTCTTGAAACCCTCGTTTACCACTTTGGGGCTTGCGAACAAGAATGCTGTGACGAGAACATCGGTGTTAGTGTTATTCAATGGATTGGCAGCTAGGTCAACTGCATTTAGTGTTGCCAGTGATGAGCCCAGGCTGTGTCCTGTCACAGTTATGCTCACTTCCTCGTTCTTGTACAGTTCAAGTAGCCTCCAAACTTCTTCTCGAACCTATGAAAGAGTACCCGATATATGGTGTTAGAAAGTACCCCATACAATCATATACTATATACTGTTCAGGTCTACAAGACACTTTTCAAATTTATTACTCCGTACTAATTTGGGTGGGCATTTCGATTTTCGATTCGGTTCAGTTCAATTTTTTCAATTTTGAAAGTATGAAACCATTTGGTTTTAAGATTTAGTGTGGTTCGGTTTGAATGAGTTTGGTTTGGACTTAGATTTGGTTCTATTAGGGTTTTTGTTCATTTGAGAACCCAAAAATTCCCTAGCTAGTTCTTTTGGGCACATTATTATTTAATTATTTTCACTAATAATATAAATTTCAAAATCTAAACAAGTCAACAATGCACAAGGGATCAGGTGCGGGAGTGGCTTCCCGTGCGGTTGTGCGGTTGGACGCACACTAAGCATTAAACTAACGCACTTTATGTACACAACACGCACATTAAGCAAATAACAAAACACTTCAAGAACACAAATCACGCAACTTAAGAACACAAGTCACGCACTTTAAGCACATAACAAAGCACCTCAAGAACACAAACCACGCATCTAAGGTTTTAAAAATGGTTTACTTTAAGTTTCACACAACTGATGCACCTTAAACATACAAATCACGCACCTTAAGGATGAAAACAACGCACATTAAGAAAGAAATCCATGCACATAAGTTTCAGCAACTACTTACATTAAGCACAAACCCACGCACCTTAAGTTTCAACGACTACTACAATTAAGTACACAACCCACGCACCTTAAGCACACAAAACTCACGCACCTTACGCACAAGACTCACGCACCTTATATACAAAATTCACGCACTTTAATCACAAAACCACTCACCTTAATTTTAACCTAGATGCAAAAATTACCAAATTGCCACCGTGTTTTTTTTTTTAATTTTAATTTGGGTAATCTTGGACGTTGATTTAAGCAGAATTAATGGCCCTGTTTTAATCGCACAACCGCACCAAGGGCAGCCCACCGCACCTGAACATATATATATATATATATATATATGGTTAATTTGTAAATATTAGCTGATTGAATTTTTGTTCGGTTCAGTTATCGAAAGCATTCAGTTTATAAAATATAGAATCAATCGTTTTTAATAATAAATAAATTGTATTGAAGTTGAATGATTTGGTTCAGTTCGGATAACCCGAATTGAAATGTTCACCCCTATTACTAACCAAACCTAGTAGTCTAGTACAATACATGATTCTTTCAAATCAATTAATATAGTGTTATGGACAGCTTAAAATATTTGGTTTAACAAGTATGTATACCTGGTCCCTGGCACTCTTACTTTTGAGCTGTGAATCTTGATTGGCAGAGGTATACATTTCATACCAACCTCTATGCACGAGGGAACCATTATCCTGGGCAAAGATGTTGTGAGGTTTGACCAGGGCGATTCTGAAATCCTCAATCCACTCCGACTTAGTTTATGTTCCCCTCCAACCGACCAGAATGTCTCTCTGTCCCAAAACCTCCTTCCCCTTGTCGGTGGCAACAGCAACATATCCACCCCAATTTGACTCTTTCATCACTGCGTCTGCTCGTACTGATTGGACATGATATCCTCCTTGGGCTCCGCCGATCATAGTTGAAGGAGTATAAAAGTACTTGGTGATAGTGTACCTAATCAAATTTACATAATACTACCAGGCTTAGTAACAAACTTTGGTGGTTTTCTCCACATTGATGCATATATAACTGTTTTTCTTGGAATAAATCACGATGTGTTTCAGGTCTTTCTCCGTCCGTTTAACGGTCAAGAGACACAGGTGCTGGCCCAAGGAGAATTGAGGTTATCCCGTGGATCTTCCCCACAAAGAAGCTCATTTGCCACTTGAGTTACCCCTTTGAGGCTATGCGTATATAATTATGAAATTGTTTCAAAATGTATTGTTGTTTGACCAAAAAATAAAATAAAATGAGGGACTAGGAAAGGTAAAGAGATGAGTATTAGTTTATACTTGAAAGGATTTGCCTTCTCAAGCCCAGTCTCTTCAAGGAGGTTTTTCTTGGCGTAGCGGCTTAGCCCGGCATACTTAGAAGTTGGTTCACTGATGAAGGAGTCGTATACTGCTCCAATCATTGAACTATAGTGAATGAGGTAACGGCGAAGATCAGAATCCAAAGGGCCCAGTAACCCTTCCCAGTTCTCACTCCCATTCAAAACTCTCCATCTCTTAGCAATGCTCTCCATTTTTTTTTTTTCTGGTTTTTCTGAATGTAATTAGCACTTAGGAGTGTTTCATTGCTGATGGAGTGAAGTTTGCACACTCCCTTGTTTATATAGAGGGGAAGAGACATGCATCAACATCTTGTTCTCTCTTTCACACACACATTCCGATCATATGAGAACATTTCTTTTGACAATCGTTATGGGTTGGACCCGTGTCCAGCATGCTTGCTGGAGACGGGTAACAGTGCCTAACGGCACTGTTATCTCCTTTTTTTTTTTTTTTTTTTTTTTTTTTTTTTTTTAAATTTCAGACCGCTTCATTGTAAGAGTATATGTTCATAATTTTATTACTATATGTTAATAACTATACATTCATAACTCCATAACTGTACGTTCATAACTCTATAACTGTACATTCATAACTCCATAACTGTACATTCATAACTCCATAATTGTACATTCATAATTTTCGAAGCTCTATGTTCACAATTTTAGAGCTCTATGTTCATAATTTTATCACTATATGTTCATAATTGTAAGTTCATAATGTTAGAGCTCTTTGTTCATAATTTGATCAATAACTATACATTCATAATTCCATACTGTAGATTCATAATCTCATAACTGTAGATTCATAACTCCATAACTGTAGATTCATAACTCTATAACTGTACATTCATAACTCCATAGCTGTACATTCACAATCTTTGAAGCTCTATATTCACAATTTTAAAGCTCCATGGTCATAATTTTATCACTATATATGTTCATAATGTTAGAGCTCTGTGTTCATAATTTCATAATTGCATAACTGTATATTCATAACGGCATAACTGTACATTCATAACGGCATAACTGTACATTCATAATCCAAAAAAAAAAAATAACGCCGTTAACAGCAAAACGCGCGCGAATTTTTTTTTTTTTAACTAAATGACGCGTTTTTTTTTTAAAAACGACGTCGTTTTGGGCCCGTGTCCACAATTCAATGTGGACACGGGTCCAGGGCATAATTTGCCTTCTTTTGATGACAGGGCTGTCCTATCATTTTATAGGCCCGGGGCATAGTACCAAAAATGGGCCTTAGCTACATGAAATTAATATATATTTTTATAACTAAAATTTAAATTAAATAAGGAAGGGTCACAAAATAGGCGGATTTTTTTTAAAAAAAAAAATGTTGTGGCTCCGTTCTTATAAATAAATGAAGCCCTATCAAAAGTATAAGCGCGACCTTTAAAACCAATACTGGAAAATATAAGATTTTTATTTCAAATATGTACTAATGGTGTAACAGCTAGTTGAATGCAAAAATCACAGTTCCTACTGTAAAATATATGATTTTTATTTCAAATTGATGAGAACATGAGAAAAAGCATATGTATTGTCTTGTGTTATGTGTTTTTATGGTTTATATTATGCAATTCTGTACCTTAAGTGTATGGATTTTGTAGTGAAATAAAGTAAATATAACATGCGCTTTTGTGTCTAGTGCTAGGCATTTTTGGGTCTTCAGTTATGCATTTTTGTATCTTATGTTGTGCAATTATGTACCTTAAGAATATTGATTCTATACATGAACTAAGGCTGTGTTTGGAAACTAGGAAAATGATTTCTGGAAATCATTTTTCAGGATTTTGGAGTTTGGTTATACTTGAAAAATCCAGTCAACGAAAAATATTTTCCGTTGACTGGGAAAAATGTGCTCAATTTGGCAGAAAATGACTTCCGCCAATATTTGGCGGAAGTCATTTTCCGCCATTTGCTATTTCTTTTTTTTTTTTTTAGTTTCTGGCGAAACTGGTTTCCGCCAGAAACCATGGCTATGGTTTCTGGCGGAAAGCAGTTCCGCCGGAAACCATAGCTATGATTTCGGTGAAACTGGGTTCCGCCGGAAACCAGAATATATATATATATATATATATATATATATATATATATATATATATATATATATATATATATATATATATATATATATATATATATATATATATATATATTAGTTTTAAACTTTTAAAATGTATTTTTTATTCTAAATAAAATAATTAAAATATTTAATTATACCATTCTACTCATTTTTCAGAAAATGAACCAAACACACCAAAACAGTTTTCCAAATGCAACCAAACACTGGAAAAAAAAATGTTTTTCGTAAAATGACTCATTTTCCAGAAGTCATTTTCCTGCTTTCCAAACGGACCCTAAAGTGAATAAAAAACATGTGTATGTATCTGTCTTGTGTTATGCATTTCTGTGTCTCATGTTATGCAATGTGATTACCCCCATTTTTTTTTTAGGTAATCTTAAATTATCTTGAATTATTCCAACTTTGCCCTTGTTAACTAATCCTTATATAATAATAATAATAATAATAATAATAAAATAATAATATTAATATTAATATTAATATTAATAATAATGATGAAATTAATATATATTTATATAATCAAATATACATGTGTATATTTATATATTTAGTTTTTTTTAATATTTAAGCTTTGATATACATTCATAGATATAAATAAATACACAGACATATATATATATATATATATATATATTACTGAGGACATTATTATAAATTGATCCGTATAACCTAAAATATAACCCTGAACCAAGATTCTGTGAACCAAACGCCCCCTTAAGTGTATGGATTTTTTCAGGGGCGGAGCCACCCCTTGGGGTAGGGGCCCTAGCCCCCCCCCCCCCCCCACCCTACCCCCATTTTTAGTAAATATATATGTATATATTATTATAATATGGATAAATTACACTTTTGGCCCCCATTATAATTCTTTTTTTTTTTTAAATCTATTATACATATTAAATGAATTCAAAAGTTACACTTTTCGTCCCTAAGTCATTGGGTAATTGTAAAATCTGTCCCCTAATTGTTGGTTGTGCTCACTTTTCAGCCCTAAGGTATAATTGACGTCACAAATTTCGTCTTTTGATAACAAGTTGTGGTCACTCATCATCTTTAAGTTATACTAGCATTGCAAATTTCGTTCCTAATGTTTTGTTAGTAAAGGGGCGAAATTTGCAACATCAATTACAGAGTATATTTTAGGGACAAAAAATGAGCACGACTATTAATTAGAGATGAATTCTACAATGACCTTATAACTTAGGGATGAAAAGTGCAATTTTTGTATATATTTTGTGTTATGTGAAAAATTCGAAATTAATGTTTGTTTGACTTAGCTTGGTTAAAAAATCAATATAAGTATTTGGTTTATTCGATGTTTGTAACTCTAAAATGCTAAAATTAAAAAAAGCTGCTCAAAACAACTTTTTCAATTAATTTTTTGAGAAAAATGAAATTATACAAAACAGCTATCGATCAGCTAACAACTAATTTACCAAACGCATTTCTACAATCAGTTAATGTTATTAACTAGTTATGGCTCTGTTTGGTAAAATATTAGCCCATTAGCCAATTTTGGCTTATTTGACCACTATTAATTGTTTGACTTGGTTAAAAAATCAACTCCAAAATGCTAAAATTCAAAAAGCTGCTCAAAATAGCCTTTTCAATTAGTTTTTTGAGAAAGGAAATTATACCAAACAGCTATCAGCTAACAGCTAATTTACCAAACATCTTTCTAGAATCAGCTAATGTTATCAAGTGGTTATACCCTCTAATTAACCCAATCAACTAACAGCTAACAACTATTTACCAAACAGGGTCTATACCTTCTAATTAACCCAATCAGCTAACAGTTGACAGCTAACATCTAACCACCACTTACCAAACAAGGGCTATATGTTTTTGCATTTGAAATTTTTAATTAGAAAACAAGAAAATATTTTCAAAACTAGTTTTTAGCTTGATTAAATGGAAATTAAAACTGCTTTTCAAATGTTTAACCTTTCTTTTCTCCAATAAATCTTGTATTTTTTTCTCTCATTAGCCTGAATATATTTATTAGAATGCAATTTTAAAAACAATCATCACTACCACAAACTTTACTTTGCAGTCTTTCAAGTTTTAATGTATTGAGTCAGATTGTTTAAATTTATGTTTTTGTTTTAATTCTGTTAAACAGGACTTGTCGTATGTTGATTTGGTGGTCAAGCAATGTAAGATCATTGCTAATGACATTGGGAACGTGTTGGTTCGCCATGTCAAAAGGTCAGCGAATCAGGTCGTTCATGTGTTAGCACGGACAACTGATTCTACTTCTGTCCTTACTGTGTGGGAGACTATCCCGCCATCTTGTATATATTATGAGCTTACTTTAATCTAATGAATCGGGTTTTCAAAAAAAAAAAAAAAGTTTTGATAACATCCGATTGAGAAAATGCTTTATTCAATCACACAAAGAAATACAATGCAAGTTCACCAATGGCCATTCATTTGAAATGGTAATAGAGGTGTCTCATACTACATAATAGTTTACATTGTAAACATGTAATTAGTTCAATTATATTAAAATATTGCCAACAACATTCATATTATTAACTAATTACATTAAAATATTGCCAACAACATTCATATTATCAAAGAGTAATGAAGGAATAACATAGAGGACATTTCGTTATCAACCAGGGATGACTCCCAAAGTTGTTTTCGTTAGGAAATTGGAAATTGAAATCTATTTTGTTGACTTCTGTGAGTTTCCACACCGACCATTGTGGTCCGATTAACATCGTCATTCAGAAATGGATTCAAGCCTCCAACAAAACACATTTTGTAATATTGTAATGATAAGACATGCATGCAACACAAAGGAGCCAGGTGCGGTCCTTCTTAAATGGCATGCGGTAATGACGTTTTTAAAGTTCATGTATTAATTTTAATTGCCATTGAAAATAAAATTTTGGAAGTAATTGATATATTTAAATTTTTGTGAATGATTTTGTATATCTTTTATCTTTATATTTTTGGAAGGTTATAAGTTCGAGCCTCAGTGGAGGCGTTATTGGTTCTTTGTGTTTCAGTAGGTTGAAAAAGTGTATGAACAGATACTACATTGTAATAGAGCCAGTAGCATTCAAAAAAAAAAAAAAAAAAAAAAAAAAAACAGATCGAATCTAGCCACAAAATTTCCATCCAAAGTGTGAATGCTTTTTGATAGAAACAAGATTAGCAAGTATGAATGCATTAATTGTGTGGGTAGATATATTTATACATATTTTTTTGAAGTTATTATGTGTATTTATATTTATATTTTATAAATTATATTTATTATTATAGCTCTATCTCTATCTCTAACTCTATATATATTAAAGCATAATGAAGTATGTAAAAAAGTTTATTGTGTTCAAATTTATTGGTAACGTTTTATATTTAATATAATTTGTGTATATATATTCATTTAAACCTCAATTATAATTAATTTGACTCCACATATATAAAGAAGAGAAATTAGATATAAAATAAATATAGTTCTTACATAAATAATCTTTTTCAAATGAATAAGTTTTTGGTGGAGATTTTCGACAAATATTGCCTGTTATTTTGTTTACAAGTTTTATTTAAATACGTTAGTTATATAATTAAAGTACTTATTTCAAATTCAAATTCCTTTCATAAAAATAAAAATTCAAATTCAAATAATAATACAAGTAACAATAAACTTTAAAATCAACATCAACATAACAATAGCATAATTAAACTTTTAAAAATATTTAGCATTTGCTCAGGATCAGTTTATTTATTGGGATTCAATCCCTCCTGACTCTATCGCAGCTTTGATTTATTAATACAATCATTGATTGGTTGGTTTTCAAAAAAAAAAAACTTTTAAAAATATTAAATATTACATTGTATAATTATACTTACATTTTTAATCAAACTAATTCTGAGCTCAAGAACTCAAGTACGTTTTTCTGTTTCCACAACTATTACTTTCTTTGCTAATTCAGATGATGTCAAAAATTTAATTGGTAAATTTGTTAAATTAATAATAATTCGCGCATCACACGAGACAATTATTAGTATATAAATATGCATCAAGAGTATAGTGTCACTTTTGACTTGTGTATCTTTTCTTTTATTTTCTTTTCTTTTTTTTTTTTGTTTGAATATTTTATGCATAATATTTTGACAATTTTTAAATAAATTTTACATTTTTAGTGGTATTGTAATAAGTCTACGGTATGTATAAAATGAAGTTCAATAACAGGTTTTACTGTAATAAGACTAGTGTATGTATAATGTCAAATGAAACTAGTTGAAAGAAAATAAAACTTTAGTTATGTTGAAATAAAACTACAATGTATATAAAATGAAACTGAATTCATTATACAAATATAACTAATTACACGAAATTTGTGCCATTTCTTTTTATTAAAAGAAACCACGTACACCATTTTGGACCATGGTGGTCAACAGTAAAATTTGCCCCCACTGACTTGAAGTCTTTCAAGATTTAATAACACACAAGCAAATACTTTATTCATTCGATCACACAAAGCAAAGCAGTACAATAATACAAGTTCGCCAATAATGGCGTTGGAAAACACGAAAGGCAACACTACACAATGTTGATGAACAACTTATTATAGGTGAGGTGACATTATAGTCTCCTTGCTTAAACAACACATAAACTAGCACAAACAAACTTGATTAATACCTTAATAAAAGCAATACCATCCCACCATGAAAGGGTTTACTAGCTTTATGCAGGCACAACATCGTCTGGCTCGTGATCATCAAGAATCCAGGTACCATCCTTTTTCTGAACCATTCCTTTGTTCTTCTCAGCCCACCAGTTGCTTGGAACCGGGCATTTCTCAACATTCAGCATGTCTCCATACTTGTTGACAAGAGGGATATCAAAACACCCTTGTGGTTTAAACTCTTCCTTTGATCCTTGGAACCCATCGATTCCATGCAGGTAAATCATCAGACCATGCCACGTTAAGGCGCTGGAGCCATCAGTCTTTAAATAGTCTGATTTTGAAGCGTTTATATCAAATTGGACTCCCACGTCTGTGTAGAAGTGCAATGAAATAATAGTGCCGGCTTCACGAGCGAAGATTGGCACCATTGGCACAAGATCCCCATGGTTGACGACACGCAGAGCTCGGAGGTTTTTCTGCTGGGAAAAAGCCTTCTTGAAACCGTCGTTTCCCACTTTTGGGCTTGCGAACAAGAATGCTGTGACGAGAACATTGGTGGAGTTACTGAATGGATTGGCAGCTAGGTCAACTGCATTTAGGGTTGCCAGTGATGAACCCAGGCTGTGTCCTGTCACAGTTATGCTCACTTCCTCGTTCTTGTACTTGTCAAGTAGCCTGCAAATTTCTTCTCGGACCTATGAAGTGAAGTAGTTAAATAAGATTATATATTCGGTAACGACGTGACTATCCAAAAATAGGCCTACAAAAATGCGGGCTTAATGGAGCGAGCCGGAATCAGGTCGCAACCCGTGGGCCCGCATGGACAGCTCAACTGCTTATAGAGGTGAAAATTTTGAAAAATGACCCGGGATTGAGTCTCACCCGCGGCAGCGTGGGAGCAACCTCTCAAAGTGAGGGGAACTCCTTGTGCGCAGTAAGCAAAGGTCTAGCCTCTGTAGTTCATATTCAGTTGAGTTAATGATTTACATCCTCCCAGATGTTCTGTCGGGCCGGGGTGTGGGGGCCCTTAGGATTGGGATTCAACATTTTGGAAGAAAAACATATGTTACAAAGCAAGGCAGTACGCTGCTTTGCTGTGTAACATCATGTATATACATGATTCTTTCAAATTAATTAAGGATAGTTTAAAATATTTGGTTAAACATGTAGCTAGGCATACCTGCTCCCTGGCACTCTTACGGTTGAGCTGTGAATCTTTGTTGGTAGAGGTATACATTTTGTACCAACCTCTATGCACGAGGGAACCATTATCCTTGGCAAAGATGATCTGAGGTTTGACCATTTGGATTCTGAAATCCTCAATCCACTCCGACTTTGTTTCCGTTCCCCTCCAAACGACCAGAATGTCTCTCCGTCCCAAAACCTCCTTCCCCTCGTCAGTGGCAACAGCAACATATCCACCCCAGTTTGACTCTTTCATCACTGCGTCTGCTCGTACTGATTGGACAACATATCCTTCTTGTGCTCCACCGATCATACTTGAAGGAGTATAAAAGTACTTGGTGATAGTGTACCTAATCAAATTTACAAAGTGTTATATATATATATATATATAGGTGTTTCAGGTCTTTCTCGGTATGTTTGAGATGTTTCAGGTCTTTCTCTGTCTGTTTAACGGTCTAGGTGCACCTGACTAATCCACTTAGAGACACGTGAGCTGACCCTAAGGGGGCGTTTGGTTCACGGAATCTTGGATTACCCCAGGTAATAAGATTACCTTCAGGAAGGTAATGTGAGATTACCGGAATGTAAGATTACTTTATGTGTTTGGTTTAGATTGTGGAATATAATATTACCGTGTTTGGTTAAGAGTTATATTTTAGGTTATATGAATCAATTTACAATAATGTCCTCAATAATATATATATATATATATATATATATATATATATATATATATATATATATATATATATATATATATATATTATGTGCGTGTATTTATTTTATTTATTTATATGTATGAATGTATATCAATGTTCAAATATTAAAAAAATCTAAATATATAAATATACACATGTATAATAATAATAATAATAATAATATTATTATTATTATTATTATTATTATTATTATTATTATTATTATTATTATTATTATTATAAGGATAAGGATTAGTTAACAAGGGCAAAGTTGGAATAATTCAAGGTAATCTAAGATTACCTAAAAAAATGAGGGTAATCACATTACCTTGAAACATTACCGCCACATCAGCTTTCAGGTAATATAACATTACTAGGTAATCTCATAACTTGAACCAAACAAGGTAATATAACATTACCAGACTCAGATTACCTAGGTAATCAAAGATGACCTGAACCAAACGCCCCCTAAGAGAATTGTCACTTGTGGAAATTATCACCAGACTAATCCGCTTAGTTAACTAACAAAAGTATTATATATACACTGGCGGATCCAGAAATCATCTATAGTGGGGGCGAAAAATTAAAATTAACCAGATATTTTTTAAAAAATAAACACTTAGAGACCGAGTCATAAATATTGTTGACTAGATATGAAAAATCAAAATACATCAAGATAAAAAATTTTAAAACAAAATATAAAACATAATTAATTAGATAAAATAGTTTAAATGGAAAACACATTATAAATCACTCATCTCACTATTAATTAATATTAAAAAAAAAAAAGAAGAATTCACAATGTAAAAAAAGAAGCCAAACCAAATTAAATGCAATAGGGTTAGAACAAAAGAAGGAGTCACAATGTGAAAAAAAAAAGAAGCCAAACAAAATTAAATGCAATAGGGTTAGAACAAAAGAAGGAGTCACAATGTGAAAAAAAAAAAGAAGCCAAACAAAATTAAATGCAATAGGGTTAGAAAAATACTGCTTTACCATCTAAGTGAACTTAACTTTGATTAAATTAGTTAAAGAATAATTGTTACTTCTGGGAATCATACCCGGATTATCCGGCGAATCCTCCCCACACAGAAGTTCATTTGCCACTTGAGTTATCCTTTGAATTGATACATATATAATTATGAAATTGTTTCAAAACGTATTGTTTTTTGAGAAAAAAAAAAAAAAAAAAAAAAAGGGACTAGGAAAGGTAAAGAGATGAGCATTAGATTATACTTGAAAGGATATTCCTTCTCAAGCCCAGTCTCTTCAAGGAGGTTTTTCCTGGAGTAGCGGCTTAGCCCGGCATACTTAGAAGTTGGTTCATTGATGAAGGAGTCGTAGACTGCTCCAATCATTGAACCATAGTGAATGAGGTAGCAGCGAAGATCAGAATCCAAAGGGTCCAGTAACTCTTTCCAGTTCTCATCGCCACTCAAAACTCTCCATCTCTTAGCAATGGTTGCAATGCTCTCCATTTTTCTTTTTCGGAATGTAATTAGCACTTAGCAGTGTTTCTTTGCTGATGGGGTGAATTCTTACACACTCCCCGGCCTCTTTATATAGAGGGGAAGAGCCATGCGCCCATGCATCAACATCTTGTTCTCACACGTACACACACCTCATTTTAAATATTTTTAATATTTATGAAAATCACTAGCTTATTTTTTACTTATTCCTCATCCATCAGATCTTGCAGATCAATGGTTTGGATTTGTTCACAAGTTCTCACGAGTGGTTCTCATATGATTAGAATGATATATATATTGGGAGAAGAATTATATATATATATATATATATATATATATATATATATATATATATATATATATATATATATATATACTAGTTTTTCACGCGCAATGCGCGATTGAGATAATGCCCAATATTTATTTTCAAATAAATATTTAAAGTATATCAAGGTAATATTATATTGGAGTTGTTATAATTGAATGTTGAATTTGCGTAATTAAATAGGTAATTCTAAATTTAGAAAAACAAGATAATATAGTCAATAGTGATAATAATTGTCAATAAAATAATTGTATGGGTATGGTTGAAATCAAATACGGGACATAAGGGAGATCAAATAAAGATTAGGGCATAAGATATTAAATATTTACTAATATAATTTGAGGAGATTCTGGCAAAAGGTTGAGTTTGATGGGGTGCCAGCAATCCGGCAAATTGCTACGAGAATTTGTTTATACAAATAATATTATAGAAACAGGAGATCTACAAACATACCTGCAGAATTCTTAATTGATGTTATGGATCGGGGTCCACCTTGCAAGGTAGACCCGTGTCCAAAGATACACAATTTACATATTAAATGTTTATAATTTACCATTTAAAATTTTACAATTGTTGATGACCAAATTTTCAAAATTTAGAACCACAATTTATATTCTAGATTTTTACAATTCTAATATTAAAAATACTCAATTTAGGATCAGGGTCTACCTTGCAAGGTAGACCCTAGTCCATGGTATAACAATGGTGATGCTAATGGGCTTAAAACACTGCTTGAAATTATGGAATTTTTGACCAACTGAAAGTGATCTTAAATCAAGTCGAAAGCCTTTTTCCGATCACTTTTGGTATCCGGAAAAACTTTTGTTGCTATTTCCGACCACTGTTTACTTTCGACTTGATTTAAGATCAATTTCAGGTGGTAAAAAATTCCATAATTTCCAGCAGTGAAACTGAATTTATAGATCTAGAATATATAATATTGCGAAACAGAAAAAACATGGATTATAACAAAATTCATTAAATTTCCTTCAATTAAAAAAAAAAAATTCATCAAGTCCAAGCTAGTATAGCAAGTTATTACTTATTTTCTTCCCATAGCACTTACTAAGTTTGCATGTGTGGACACCCGGTTCAGAGTGCGAGGTAAGGTAGTCTGGTTCGAGTATGGCCTGATACATGGCAAGTTAGACGACATCCGCGGCTCCTATTCGTTAGGCACAGTAGCCGGTGTGTCCTCAGCTAGGTTTGCACATGAGACTCGGTTGGGCGACCTGTCTCGTTAGTCGGTGTGTCCCTGACCGGATCCCCCTGGGATTCGGACGGGCGACCAGGCTCCTTTGGCAGTGTGTCCTCGACCGGGTATCACTCAGGAACTTAGTTGGGCGACCAGGCTCAGCGGTCAGGGTGTCCTCGCCCAGGTACCGCTGCCCCTCCTCGGGTCCCCTCTCAGGCAGTTAGAGCGTTATCGGCTGGGTGCTCGTCCAGAGGCGGTTGCAAGCCAATTTCGTGGAGATCTCTTTCCTCTTTTAATACAAGCAGCTTCCTTTATTAACTTAGTAATTATGGCATTAAGGAAGCCGGATTCCTTAACTGATTTGGCTCCACGTCAGCCCTACTTTCCTTTTAGGAATCTTGTACTCTTGTATACATATCCCCATGGGATCACCATATAAAGGCCTAGTGGTCGAACGACTGAAATCCTAGAGAAATAATATCGCATTGTTCTCTTAGCTACGCTGAACGGATACTCAAAGCCGTAAAACCAACATTGGCGCCGTCCGTGGGGACATAAACTAATTAAAGGTCCTGTCTCTAAGCTCCGCTAATGGCTCGCACCCGACGCAGTAATCAAAACACTGGAAAAAACGTCGCGGCCCTACTGGTTAAAGGGCACGTCGTTGTCATTGCAAACGCGAAGTTGCCATCCGCTGGCAGCCGTGTATCTGTGGGCGATATAAGGGAACAGTTATGTAGTCGTGCTTCTAGAGAACAGTCGGTTGCACGTACTGCGCGTACTGTCGCGCCGACTCACGAGCTGCCGAGAGGCAACCCTCTGCCGCCCGTCGCTCAGGCCCAAGCCAATTTCGCGGGGTTGTTGTTGCAATCATTCGATGCATACGCGTGTGGAATTGGTCAGATGCCCCCGTCATGAATCCACAACTTGCGCGGTTAGTTCCAGTGGAAAACCGCGATGAAGAACTAGAACGTTTGATGCGCTCCGAGGGGCACTCGCATGTAAATCTGCGTGCCCACCATTCGGTGCATTCATGGCTCGGCCCCGTAGCTCCTGCACAGTCGGTCATGGATCAATTATTGGGCGGTCGAGCCAGGCAATGCTCCCCCACTCAGTCAGTCGGGAGGGGAAGAGAGGGGCCGGAGGGAGAGCAGCCGCGGGCCATTATCCAGAGAAAAATAGATGCTTGGCACAAGCGAGAGGCCGCTGAAGGCATGGGGTAATCGTCTATGTTCCAAGAACAGCCCAACCCATAGATGGCCGACCTGGTCGGCGTGGTCCAAGAGCTTTGGCAAAAGATTGAGGGGAAAGATAGACTAATAACCGACTGCCTACTAACTGCGTCCCCCTTTTCGACAATGGTGCAGGCAAACAGGGCACCGACGCGGTTTAAGTTACCCGACCACCCTACATATGATGGAACCGGAGACCCCCGTGACCATGTCATAAATTTCCAAGCCAAGATTCAAGTGATCGGGGCGGACGCTCCCATGATCTGCAAGCGTTCTTCCCAACCTTGATCGGGACCGCCTAACGATGGTTTCTCAAGCTTCTCCTGGGATCGATCAACAGTTTTGAGGAAATAGCCCGCCAGTTTTTAACGCACTATGTCGGAAGCATGAAGCCCATGAAGTTTATCTCGGGTACACCAATATGAGGGAGAAAGCCTACGCAAGTACATAGCGCGTTGGCAAAATGAGGCTCAGGCGGTCGATGGTCTGGACGACCAGACAGCCCTAACATTCTTCATTGAGTCCTTGCGAGCGGACGGGCATTACTGTAAGTTACGGGATGAGAATCCCAAGACATATGTTGAGGCTATCCAGAGAGCCAACCAACTGGCTGACACGAAGGAGGCGGTCAGGCAAAAACGCAGATAAGAGGGGTCCTCTCATAAGTGACTCCAGGTGGATAATCCCCGTGACGGCCGGATAGAGGACGCGGGGGGTGTTCGTGTGAAAGCTCTTCGCGTCCAAGACCGGCTGGGAGCTCCTCCCTATCGGCCGACGGCACATCTCGTCCACGAGGTCCACACCCAGTTACCTCCACCTCCACCTATCCAACCTGGCGATAAACCGCAGATGGTCAGCACGAACGCCGCCCCTTATAGCAGATACCACCGCACAAATACTCACACCACGGAGGAATGTGAGGGCCTTAAGGAAGAAATCGAGGTGCTCATAAAGCGCAGTCGGCCACTACCTCCTAACTAGTGGCGCCAACCAGGCCCACCCTAGTAGAAAGAAGCGCATGCTCGACTTGCCTCAAAGGCCACGGACAAGGGTAAACAGCCCATGCAAGAGGATGACACTGATAAGAATTGGAAGAAAAAGCTAGTAATCAATATGATAGTGGACGATCACGAAGTTGGCAATTCGGCGAGAGCCCGAAATGCTCGGGCCAAACAATTATACGTGGGAGCGATAGCCTTCCAGGACTCAGACCGAAAGAAAGCATGTAGGGAACCGATTGTCTTCACAGACCACGACATACCCAAGGGCCCCACCCCCCATAGGGACGCCTTGGAGGTCGCCATGGACATCCAGGGGTCAGTCATTCACCGAGTACTAATCGATACGAGCAGCCGTGTTAATGTGTTGTACCTGGAGGCTTTCCAGAAATTGGAATTGTCTAGAGAGCAACTGCGGCAGGTCAAGAGCCCTCTGGCTGGTTTCACAGGCGATGCCAACGAGGCTGAGGTTTGTATTTCGTTAATGGTAGAAATGGGCACCTAGACCTATGTAAGAAAGTTGGAGATGGAATTCGTAGTAGTAGCTTTGGAATGTGCGCACAACGTTATACTCGGCCGACCAGTCCTTGAGGACTTGGGCGCTTTGATTTCCATTGAGCACTTATGTATGAAGTTTTGTACACCGACTGACATCGAGGTAGTGCGATGTGATCAAAAGATGGCCCATAATTGCTACTTGCAAGTCTTTCGGAAGGTGGGACAGGGCTTCGACAGGGTAAATACCATCGCCCACCAGGTGGTTGAACGACCATTAGAATGCCCTATTCCCGTAGTCTAGTTGGAGGAGGTCACTCTAGAACCCGACTGGCCGGATAGAAAGGTTAGGGTCGGGGTAGACCTGCCTGCACCGGTGAAACAGGCGATCATCAAGGTTTTAAGGAACTACAATGAGATATTCGCTTGGGGGCCTGAGGACATGCCAGGTGTTGATCGGTCAATCATAACACACCGGTTGGCAGTTAATCCCGGCGTTAAGCTTTTAGCTCAGAAAATGAGGTATTTGTCAAATGACCGCAGAGCCTTTGTGAAGCAGGAGGTGGACACCTTACTAGCAGTAGGGCACATCCGAGAAGTTAAAGAATGCCTTTATAACCCCGGACGGGGTATATTGTTATAAAGTGATGCCCTTTTGGCCTCAAAAATGCCGGGGCTACATACACCCGAATGGTCACACGGTTGTTTAACGGATTGATTTGCAAATCCTTGGCCGCCTATGTCGATGATATGCTAGTCAAAAGCAAAGAGGAGGCCAACCACGCACAAGACTTAATAGA